CTTCTCGAAGGTTCCCGAGAGCTCCTTTGGACCACGTGACCGCCCCACGGCCCCCGTCCACCGGTGGCCCCCCTGCAATATCATCCGGTCACGTGACAGCAGGTCAACCAGCGTATGATGCCCCAAGGTAACCCTGGCTGGCTGACGCTCCCTCTCGCTCCCTCACCGGGAGCCGGCACCGCATGCTGCTCGCGGTGCGTCCGCGCTGACCAGCGCTCACCCAACCACCGCTAGTGTTGGTACTGCAGCCCGTAACCCTGGCTGCCCGTAATGACAACACATCACCGGACGTGGCTTCGCAAGCCCCGGCACCATACAGTGGCAAGCGCAGTCACTACACTTTGTACTGTACTATGTGTGTACCTACGTTTATGCTCCCCGTCTTCACCAACCAGCACCGAGCAGCATGGTGAAGGATGGTAAAAGAACACCCCACGACTCACGCAATGGGGGAAGGTCTTCATCCAGCAGTTGATTAAATGTATGTAATCCCTCTACAGGACTCAGCCTGAAACACATAATACGCTTTTTGTGGTGTCCATAGACACCGAACTGTAATGCCAAGTGACCTCCAGCATGTGTAGGTGTATGTTCTGTAATAGTGAGATAGGCAGGGGTCGTTTTGGGACCACGTTTCTAGAAATTATTTTTTTTGAAACCCTTTGAAATAAAGAGTTGCGGTTACACAACCCTTTGGTGTCCCTTGGTGGAGTCATCCCATTCTCAGAAGGACGGCAGAATACAACGCAGATTATCCCCTCATCGCCTCCAAACTCGTCTATTATTGTGTTTATTAGCCGGTCTAGCCCCTCGTTACGATCACGGGAGGAGGATAGGGCGAGTCGGTTATAAGAGCAACAAATTACAATTTCACATGCAGGTGGTCAAGCCAGACGTCTACGTCAGGAGCAGCGGAGTGTATCGCTGTAATGTCTCCATATTTATGGATTGGGCATTGTTTCGTTATATGCTGTATGGTCTGTTCTGGATTACCACAGTCGCACACTGGAGAGTTTTTCATTTTTCATGTATGCATCAGGTAACCACATCTGCCATGGTTTGTGCATATGTGTGGCTCACTCGCACATCCTACACTCACACTGCCGCTGACTCGCTCACACATCATACACTGACTCATCATGCGCTGACTAGCACATCTTGCACTGACTCATACATCATATACTCACTCACGCTGCTGCTGACTCACTCACACATCATACACTGGGAGTGTCATGCTGCCAGCTATGGCTGCAGGTTTTGTCGTACGTGTTATGTATATCGTTTATTGTTAAATTTAAAATCATAGTTCCTATGATTACTGTTACATTGTTTTTATAGCTTTATTTTGGTGATTCGAAAACATATGGTTAATCTAAATTGTCTTATGGTTGTTGTTGTTGGCTTGCACCATATTGATTTTTGCACACAGCATTTTAATAAGTGTTTTTGTGTGGAATATTTGCTGGTTTATTACAGGATGTTTCTGTTACGCGTTATCGCTTGAAGGTGTTCTGTGTTCAAATTTTGTTTGTTGCGGTTGCACCCGACTTAAGAGCCGCATGGCTCACAGGGCTATACCTAATAAATGAAACTTGAAAATGAAAACTTGAAACATTAGAAATGGACCACTCTTTATTTTTTTTCCTCGTGCAGAAAGGGAGTAAAGTGTGGTTTTGTCAAAGTCCTTATGTGCTGTGCAGTACATCAATGCACATGTGTACACCAGCATGCAATAACTGATTTGGGCCTGTAGGTGGCTGGCAGGGTTATTGATTAACCGCACTTGTACACCCATCACGTGGTTAATGGCGACTCGGTTGAGGATTGCTGTGTGTGACACACGTGCTGTTGCATTTTACAGGTAAAGGACCCAAAGGTTTTTTTCGTTATATAAATGTTCTCGACTTGTTCTAGACTTAAAGCTTGGCTTTGAATTGTTAGTTTGTGATATATTTAATAGGAGGGGTTGACATACTGTAGTTAATACTTGTAATTCTCTAACCCTAATACTGTTTATTCTATAACCATGCCCATACACCCAGAGTATGACTACTTGCAATGCTTTCTAGAATAGAACACATGTACAGTCGTAAGTTGTACAATGGTGACTAGTACAGTAGGTATATTGTACACATACAGTACAGGTAATGGGTGATAAGATACCGATATAAGTGGATGGTATAGATAGATAGACATACAGCTTATGATTAAAGTAATATTCGAATAGTGAAGTGCAAAGGTTACTGTCAAAGACAAATATGGTTTATCAGTAGTAGAATTTGGTTTAAGATGAACTGTTATTGATTAACCTGACTTGTACACCAGTCACGTGGTAAATGGCAACTCGGTTGAGGATTGCTGTGTGACACCACGTGCTGTTGCATTTTACAGATTTACCACAATAAATGTTTGCCCTCGATTTGGAGCACCTGCCCACGTCCTTCATTTCGAGTGTGCAACATGTGGTTTAGGGTAGACCATGAGCTTCGTGGAAGATCAAAACCTGGAATCTTCTGTGTTGGGTTTTTCACAAGGTATTTGTTTATGAGTTCTTTTGAACTCCATTCACCTTTCCAAGCTTCATCGGGGTTGAAATCGGATAGTTTAAGGTTAACCGCATGGGTTCAAAAGAGCTTCCGTGACTTGTAAGAATGAAGAGGAACCAACAGAAACAATACAAAATCACCTGTGGCCAGTTCCATAAAGCAATGAACATGATTTCTTAGGCAACTTCAATTGACATGAGGGTCCAAAGTTTTCCAACAATTCCCAGCATAGGGAAGGCATGAACCTACGACCAAATCACCTAAAATGCACCTGATCTCATCCGATTTCAGAAATTCAGCAGGGTTAAGTCTCGATAGTGCTTGGAGATTGGCAACTTTTTTTCTTACACAGTCCCTGAGCACAGGCCCAAAGGGAAGGAATTCCAAACTCAAGCAGCGCAAGCGAAGAAGCACAACAAGAAGTGCTTTGACCTGTAGCGCGGTGGTTGAACACAGTACGGGTGAGACAAAACAGCCTGATAGATCGAGTCCTCAACATAGGAATCAATGAGTGATTCATGGGAACAGTATCCTTTTTGTGCTTCGTTTTTTTTTGTCCTTCCCCCGTACCTCCGATTAGCACGGTTGGCTATGTATGGTGGCTAAAGAATTTCAACATACGTAGTAGCTATAGAAGAGTGATAAGGAGATGACTGACCACCGGCAAACAAGTGGCTGGAGTGAATTGGTGAAAGCTGGATCATCAATCAACCTGCTTGCAATTTAATAAACATTGATCTATTTCATACACCATAGATTTTCATATCTCAAATATAATTGATTATAATTACTAATAACTTTCAGCCCTTTGTCAATCAACTACTGGATGAAGGCCTACACATACTGTGTCAGCAATGGAGATTGGTTGATAATACTTTATCATGCTGATGTGGATTGGTGAAGGTGTGGGGATGGGTGGGGATGGGTGGGGATGGGTTGGGGAACAAGACCAGTTCAGATATCACTCGCCACTAACGGTAGCTGTGGCCTGGAATCCAATTTTTGGGTCGCTGAGTTCATAGCACAGTGCACCAACATCTGTGCCACTAATCCCCCAAATATATGTAATATAAAGTTATTTTTTTACCAACTGCTCACGATGACCAGACCAGACTTTTCGTTTAGCTGCAATATATTTTAAGCCAAGTTACTTATGTAATATGATTCCAGGATGCACTTAGTCTATGTAAACACAAGAGGCATGTTAGTGCTGGTAAATTATGCAGAACGCATACATTGCAAAAAACATCTATGTTATTATGATCCTTCTTACAAACATAGATGCCGTCTGCACTTGTGTTCGCATTTGACCCTTGGTAATGGGATTAATCACAGCTGGGATTGTATTGGCAGATTCCTATTGATGTTTCAAGCAGCAACTTAACTGCAGTAAAATACAGTTCTGTACAGTACTTGCTTATTTGGCTATGTATTTTAACTTATTTTTTTCTGTTACTTCATGGACAATTTCACCAGTGCACGTGGCCACTAAAGTTTAAACAATGGACAAGTATCTTAAATCCCTCACCTCTGTCCAGCCAGGAGTATAAATGGGCACACTACAGTTCATCGATCGGTGGGTCACGCATGGTGAGGAAGGTTACAGATTGCTACCACCTTTTCAAAGCCGTCCAAGAATAGGACATTCGCCGAGGAAATCGACAAAATAGGCCAAATACCATCTAGATGGGCTCTTTTAGAGTTCCCTCTAGCAGAGGGCTTTCTGCCAGCAGTGGTGTGATCAAGCAGTTGCATGGCTGGGCCTTTACCTTATACCATATAAACAGATAAAGTTATAACATTGCCTTTGAACGATAAACATGTGCTTTTAATTAACATTCCTTAATCCAAAACGCATGATATAAAATGTACGTTATTTTAGATGCGAGGTTTATGGAAGAGTCAGAAGTTCATTGCAAAATACTGCATTGCATTGGTATGGCTGTTTTATACTTGGTAACAGTCATTGAAGTGCAACATACCCTAAGGGATATTAACTATAGCACTGCATATATGTATGCACGAATAAACTTTATAAATACTAAGACTATTTTCATTCCTACAACATGCTTGCAATGAGCAGCTCTTGTTTTGTAGGTCTACTACTTACCTTGAGAAATCAAGTTAAATTCACTCTCAAAAATAATTTCCAATGGGAACTGCCAAACGCAATCTCTGAAAGTTATTATACCCGTGGTTATAATCAGGGCCGCTGCTGGATTCGTGCCGTGAACCTTTGGCCATGTCACCGCCCGAAAGACATGGGGGAGCTATGCAGCGTAACCGCGAAAACCTACACAGCAGGGTTTTCTACACTTGCAGTGTATTGGACCATGTTCATCTTTAGCAGAACATTTGTATTGTTCACAACAGTCGCGGCGTGATCACACATCCTGGGTCACCCTGCACTCAGCAAACACAAACTGCAGCTTCATCACAAAATTTCACATAAAGTAGTTTCCACGGTTTTTATTTGACAAATATCACTCCAGACTTATTTCCAAAATGTGTTTTTACTTAAAAACTAATGGAGTATAGTACTACATGGTATGTTTTCACATAAGAAATATCGCACAATTATTTATTAATTTAACATATAGTCTCTTGTCTTTATCCATACCTTTTATAGTAAATGTAGAATTAAACCAAGTAATGTAAAGCTCCTGTAAAAAAATACATACTGTGTATGCAAACACAATTAAATTGATAACACAAATGAAATATTGCAGTTCAAGGATTGATCATTATTAGTTTAAAAATTGAAAGTTAATATTAAATTGGATATGCACAAATCTAAATGTGTACTACTTTAATGCACGGATAGGTTGGCTATACAGTATAGCGATTGCAGTTGTATGGCTAAAAAACCGGATGTCCAGGCACTATCTGGGTCCCAAAGAACAGAATGTGTGTCTTATCAATAGAGCGCTCCTTGGTGCCTGGCAATGCGGTATGTAATCAAGCATAACTCTCAAGGGCGTTTAAAACATATGAGCAATGTACTGGCCCTTATCACAATCTTAATCCACAGCTGGGTTGTTGTTACTTCAATGGAGAGCGTTTTATATAAATGTATGTTTCCTCTTTTAATTAAACATGTTTTTGGGTGAAGACTTTAATGCCGATGCAGTAAGACAGCACTTTCAAAGTTAATGTTGGAATGCGATCATTTATCCCAAAGATGACATCTGTCAGTTAGCATCTTGTATCTGGCCCAGACAGATTTGTAGGACTTGCAGATTTGCCTAAAATTACAAAATAAACACCACAGGTTAATTATTAGAATGTCTAAAAAACCTCTAACATACTTACCAACATATACAGTACTACCTTTACATATACTGGTATTTAAAAGAAATAACTATATATACTTTACTTTAATTAAATATACAAAATACATTTAATACGAATAAATTAATTACAACCACAAGTGAGTTATGGGGGTTGTTTGACCGCACTTCACCTAAGTGCCTCCTGCAGGCTGAAGGTGAGGAGGGGCACACGTAGACGCATAGGAGTCCAAAACAAGTGGACATTATTTTTCTGCACTGCCCTCTACAGCCCATCATGTCGTCCCGCAGTCCTATGACAACCAGTTCGTGGTGATGGTCACCCAAATAAGTGCTGTGTCGGCTTACATCTGCTTAGCTTTCAGGATCTAACGATAGAGGCATTTCGGGTGATTTGTTCATAGGCTATACTGTATTTACTTAAATTAATCATTTTTATCACTTGGTAATGCTACTTTGAAATTGTGATGAAAGGTTTGTCACCTGTGCATCGTATATACATTTATGACAAAAGATATTGGTATATGTAAAGCATGCACTACACTCCATAATGTGACGAATCGGCAGCCAAGCGAAGGAACGTCGAACAGAGGACATCCATCGAGGAGATGCAGTAATTAAGCACATTCATTTGCAGATGTTATTTGGATTATTACACTGCATGGTCGTGAGAGATGGTGGTGGCTTTGGAACGCCTTCATCTGACAGTGGATTAACCAAGGCTGATGATACTGATGTTGTTACTCTATGCCTGACTGTCAAAAGTACAAAAAAAATAACTTAGAACATTTCTACTCAGCATGACTACACACATGAAAACTAAATAAATGTAACTAAATGTATGGTTTCAGATAAACCTATGACTTTTAATCGTATGGTTTTAACATTTTAATGGAGGATAATTTTAAGTACAGGTACCTTGGTTTTTAGAAAGGTACCTTTATATACTACTGCCTACTGTCTCCTTGCACGACTACCGATTGCGGCTGTTGCCCACTATCACATCCACAACCCCCCCGCCCCACTACAACCCCCACCACTACACAAACAAGTCCAAGCATTAGTCCAGAGGAAGGTTGCAGGGCCATAACCGAAAGAGGCAGGGCCTTAAAGCAGAGGAGGCAGTTCCGAAAAGGAAAGGAGCAGGGCTCAAAGAGGAAGAGACAGGGGCCCCATCAGGAAGGGATGGGGGCCTCGAGAGTAAGTCGGAGGGGCTTAAATAGGGAAAAGGCAGGGCCTGAAGATGGAGAAGGGACATGGCCTAGAGAAGTTGAATGTCCCTGTTGATTCAAGGTAAAAGCGTGGAAAAAAAATACGTGCAGCGGTTGGCGTACCAATAGAGCCGTAGGCGTGGCTACGTGCCAACGAGTAAAGTTTGATTGAAAAATGCTTTCTAAAACCAACCAAACTCTACTTGCAACTCATCAAATACAGCATCACTACATACTGGGGATTTGCAAAGTATAATATAAAAAAAATATATAAATTCTGACAGCCTTTGAATGTTGAAAGTGAAAATGGACACAAAAATGATACACCTGCAGCAATGGTTATTACTGTGGGTGTATTAACTATAAAGATACATCGTCTGCTTTATGTAGACATAGATACCATAACGTCATTTGAAACGTGTATGCCATTGTGGTCCAAATATGCCAAATTCGAAAGATTGCCTGCAAACTACTCAATTGGGATTACGTACAGCAGTCACTGCCCCCAACTGGAAGACTACTCTTTGGTTCTATTGGGTAAAGTCACGTAGGTGAAAATAAAAGAACAAAAAATCACGACGTTTCGGCCACAACACAAGCGGCCTTCATCAGGTGAAGGGACGAGACTGTCTGCAGGACAGTGCTGGAGTGGAAGAAGCCACGCTTAGATCACGACCTTTAAGCTGTGTGAGAAGAAAAACACCAAGCGCCTTGACAAAGGAATTAGCATATAATTTAGCATTGAAATGGCTCATTGAAATAGCTAAGTTAAAGTATACACATCCGCAGAGGTACCCCTTGACAAAGGAATTAGCGCTGGAGTGGAAGAAGCCACGCTCAGATCACGACCTTTAAGCTGTGTGAGAAGAAAAACACCAAGCGCCTTTACAAAGGAATTAGCATATAATTTAGCATTGAAATGGCTCATTGAAATAGCTAAGTTAAAGTATACACATCCGCAGAGGTACCCCTTGACAAAGGCTCCTTCCACTCCAGCGCTGTCCTCCAGTCTCGTCCCTTCACCTGATGAAGGCTGCTTGTGTTGTGGCCGAAACGTCGTGATTTTTTGTTATTTTATTTTCACCTATGTGACTTTACCCAATAGAACCAAAGAGTATGGATCCTAGCAGTCACGAAAGCTTTAAATCTAGAATGGAAGACTACTGCCCACTCGCAGAATAACATTTTCCTGCATTGACAACTAGTAGTGATGTAAGTCGCTTACCACGTGTAAAGCACTCTTGAGACTACCTGCCATAAAGGGCACTTTATCAAACTTAGATTATTATTAAAGGTGGCAGCTCACCTTGCAGTGTTTGAGCTGAAGCTCTGTAAGCTCCACCAGCCCCTTGCGGAATGCCAGCACTCGCCTGCACCTGAAATCCTTCAGCTCTGTGTGGACAAATACCATGATACAAATAGTCCGATGCTCCAAGAGGCTACAGTGTTTATTTTATATGAACCTTATGGCGGTACCCCGGAGTACCATAGTACCCGGCTCTAGCATAATGTCCGTGATACAGTCATTTTTAGTCTGTTGATGGTCGGCGATGCGGCAATCAACTCATCTCGTCGAGCTGTACACGATGCACCGCTGCGGTGCGTACGAGCGTTCAGGGTTTCAGCGGAATCGTCCTCGCTGCGTTTCGACATCACGGAGTAGCACTGATTTCGGATTGATTGGTTACCCCAGTCACGGAGTGAAGTACACCCCTGGAAAAAAATAGTGTCCCAGAAAAATAAAATATTTAATTGCCTCAGCCATTTTGTATTATTTGGTACCCCGGGGTACCGCCATAAGGATCATTAGGTAAATTACATTCTGCATGGGAAAGAATGTTTTCAATGTGTACAATATTAAAAACAAATAGGGTAAAAACGTGATTAACATAACACTTTATTTCTTGTAGGCACATTGTAACTTTGATAGCATCCATACAACCACTATGATCCAATGCTAGTCATGGAGGTTATTTAACCATACTTCACCACACTAGTAATTGTCGGCTGGTAATAGGAGGGGCCAGGACAGATTTAATTATCGTTTGCCACTCATGTTAGTTGTAGCTGTGAAACTGAATCCTGAATCAGGTCACTAGGATAATACTTCATTGTGTTAACCACTATCGACCATTTTTGATTAAAAAATTTTTTTAAGTAGGACAACCTCAAAGATTGTGAAGATTATTTGTGAAGACAGTACTGAATTTAGATATTTGTCCAGTTTTATTAATGCGTGTTTGGTAAGTTGGAGAAAACTAGAATACCTGGAGAAAACCCATGCACATGAGGCGGTAACTTTCAAAGCTCCACACACATGGATTCTCAAATCCATTGCTGTACTTCTGGTCGCCTACACCAGTGTTGCAAGGAACTCGCCTATGAATATATGGACCAGGCTAAACCTTGCTTAATTTCCAAGCATCCAAAAATCTGACAAAATAGAGCATATGCAGGGTGATTTCATCATAGGTCAGTGGTATAACTCACCCTGCTACTATCAACCCCATAGGAAACTATTCTAGCAAAGTTATGCTGACTGTGCTGAAGCCACCTCGTTCGTTGCAGACCTCAACATTAGCTCCTAAACAACCAGATTGCCATACACATGAACATAACTCACCCTGCTTTCCAGTAGAGGACAGCTTTTCAAAGCGCTGGAGGGAGGTTTGTTGCTGGCTTTCGGTTGCAGCAACGTCCTTGTTGCGGGTGCGTGCGCGGTCCAGTGCTTTGTTGGCGTTCTCGTAATCTACGAGAGCCCTAGTCCGCCGGTACAGCAAGTCCTGTGGGCAGCCAGTGATGTGAATGTATGGGCAATGACCACACTCAGGCTGGTGGTAGGATAATTATGGAGCATACAGTAAGTGAGTGTGCCTTCAGTGGCTACGTGTGTAAGTTATGACTGGTCACCTTGGCAGCTTGCGAGTCCTTCATGTAATATCGAAACAGGTCTGAGAGCTTCAGGTCTTGGTCAGAAGCCGCCCGTCCCTCTAGTTTCTGTAAGACAGTAAACACATTGCCTGTGTGTAGTAGTTAATGGACTTATAACCATTCACTCCCAGTGAAGATTAAATGAATTGTGATGATTCATGGTTGTGATTGAACGCAAGAATAGGTTCGATTTCTCGATACGTATTACCTTCGTTTGCATTGTTTCTTATTATTTTTGTGTCTTATATAGGGGCTTGTTCACTCAACCCAAATGTAACACTCTTGTATAATTTTCAAACAATGTTCATACAATGTTACTAATCGATTCCACAACAAAAAAATGTTTGCATGCATTGTGAGCATATGAATAATGTGAATTGATGAAATGATATACGCATTGTAGTATATGTAGCAAATCTGATGTGATGTCGTAGTACTGCGTTGGTTGTGCCGCATATTGGCTGTGATGTCATACTACTGCATACATTTTCACAGTCGTGGTGTATAGATCTCAGGTGTGTTTTTTGGGTCGTTCTGCGTGTTGTTTGGCGTGATCTCACTCCATGTGCCAACACTAACCCGAAAACACATCAGAGAAAGAGTTACAGCTGTCGTGTTGTGCCTTAGAGGCAAGGCCATATGAACAAAACAAAAAAATGCACTTCACTGTGATTTTCTCTTTTCCAAACAAAATCCTGTTATAAAAAAAATGTGATTTTTTAATACTATGGCATAATTTTTTTAAAATGTGTTTTATATGAAGAGAATTAATGTAAACAATAGCATTACGATACACTATGCACTGTCATTTTATTTGCCAAGCATAAAAAAATGGTACCTTTAATAAGCTTCAGTGTGAAATAGTTGAGCATCATGAGGATTTAAAGCGGCTGTGTAAAATTGTCCACGCCGTGCATTCAAGCGCACTGCGATGTACATCCCTTTGCAGTTGCTAATACTTTTTAACAGAAAAGCGTTGTGCGTAGGAGATGCATTAAAATGGCGTGTTCGCATGTTATGGATAGGATATGGCACAACCTAACAAGTTAGCAAGGCTTACTGACCACAAGCAATGGAATGCTAATGGCCGATGTGCGACAAACCATAATAGACTGTGAGTTAGGGTGCTTAGTCTCATGAATGTATCTACAGATTTAATGCTATAATGGGAAATATAATATACACACGGTACTAAAATAGGGGTGGAGCAGTGGCGCAGTGATTCACGTACTGTACTATGAACCTGGCAACCTGAGTTCAACATTCCAGGCCATGGTTAACACCAGTGGTGAGTTAGATCTGAACTGGTCCTGGGCACCCCTTCACCAACCTGCATTGACCTGTGTGGTGACGTCTGGCCAAACAACCCCTCGTGACCGACACAACGTGAAAAGGCCCTCAATCAGTAGTCTATTGACATAGGCTTGCGCATTATTAAATCTAAAACTCCTATAAATATAAATTCCCATGCTAATGAAGAGTCTTACCCTTGTTTTTTCCAGCACATCAGCAATACAAAGGTATAACCTGAAAGACACACAGTGTTTTCTTTTTACGATGAACAAAACAGTTGCATTGCTTATTTGTTACTCATTAATTGTCATCTCTGTGTTTGTAAAGCAATCAAATCTATTCAGGAAAATCCGTTTACTTGCTAAGGTTCCTGGAGTCCTGTGTGGCCAGGCTGGTGAAGCTGGCTGAGATGTGGAGGTAGTCCTCTGCGATGTCTACACACAGACGTACCACAACCAATACATCACGTCAATTCATAAAGTCCTTTTTTTTTCTCGCAAAATGTATCCCAATTCTGCTTTAAGCATCACATCACAAGACGCACTAGCCAGTCGGATCTGGTGCAGAGCAGTGTACGGTAATCATTCATGTTATAGAACCGCCAACGAAAGAGGATATCACAGAGTTGAAAGCCTCTTCAAGTGACCTCTGGTCCACACAGTAGAAGGCAGCACCTTCCTACCCACTCTGCATGTGACAGTCAAGCCGATATTTAATTCTCAGAGCCGGAATATTTCCACATTAAGTGCAGGACCAATTTTAACATCCTTTATGTTGTCTCAATGATTGCTGGGAGGTACATTCAATGTTGGAACAGTGTTTTAACGATTTTCTATACTTAAATAGTTGCTTTATACATTCGTGGATAGTGTGTGGAGCTTTAGAGTACCAAGGGTAATGTATTCTCCTTTATGCTACTCCGTGCCCCAACAACAGTAAGGCCTGCAGTGCCACCTACTCGGGAAGATGTTAAACGATTGTAACACTCAAATCCTCAAAGTATACGTTAAGAAAATATCATAGCTGCAAGATTCCAAGTTAAGATGCTATAACTGGAGTACTGTACTATTCTTTCATTTTGGTAACTTTTCCCATTGGTTATTCTCAAAGTACCACAGTGTAAAATAAATACAATCTCACACTTTCTGCTGTAATAAAGTTGTAAATTATGAGGGAAAAAACACAATAACTTCATACAGTAATCAGTGCAGGCCATAAAACCTTAAATTTAAATAAACACGAAGAAACATGTACAAAAAGCCCCCAGCCTTGTGCAGTATGTAAAACCCATCACTTGTTCCTGAACCACAATGCAGTTCTTCAGGTTCTGGGATGTGGCAGACTTGTCGAGTGTGGTGGTTATAAAACTGCGCGAAGAATCCGGCGTCCTACTCACGTCCAACGTCAGCGACAAATATCAGAACATTGGCACTGGGTGTGGTGCTTGCCAAAGCACCCCACCTAGCACCGTGAGGGCCTTAATGAGTGCCAGCTCACAGCACTTGCCCCAAAGTCTGTGTAGACTGCACGGGATATGTGTCTTGTAATGCCAGCCATGCTCCCATGATAATTTATACAACATAAATACATAAAAAAAAACAATGAAACCTGAATAACTGGAGTAAAATCAAACGAGGGTGAATTTAAAGAATGCAATATTCTCAGTTGTTGTCCACATACTCTTGTGTGCTTTTGTCATTTTGTCAGCCTTAGTGGTGGCATCTTTGATTCGCAAATGATAATCCACCAAGAAGACTTTCTCATGCTCCATGAACTCGTCGATATCCTGTAAAATAAACCGGTAGCAAACATGAATATAAGTACTTGTTTAGTTTTTTTTGTTTATGCCACATGTCATACTATACAGTCTTAGAGAGAAAAAAGTTTTGTTAACTGTCGTGTGACGTCACTGCACGCATATGCGTGGTTACTTCACCGGCATCCTACAGCGTTGAACCGGGTTCATTACACATCCCCCCCCCCTCCACGACCATGTACACCGTGTAAATGCATGGGAAGTACTCGTTTTGTTGTTGTTGTTGTTGTAGTGCGACTCAACACGTGCCCAGTACAAGGAGGGAACAGACACTCTGCGAGCAAAAACCTGTGCAAGGGATTATTAAGGAGGTGGGACATTCTGGCTCTCCGTCCCACCCAAGTGGGGACCGGGAGTGGGAACATGAAAGCTTATATGGGGAGGAAAAGATAACTAACATAATGGGGGGGGGGGGGGGTAGAGAGGGGGCTGGGGAAGCGAGGGAGTGATAGTTGATTTTTTTAAACAGTGGTAGAGCAGTTGAAGCACCATTTTGTTCGATGCACGTGCTTACGGGGAGTTCGTTATTCACATGGAGTGTTATTTGCATTTGATCGCCCTGATGAGTCAACAAGCCCCCCCATGCCATAATTAGTGAATATTACCAAAGCCACTCAAAGGTCAAGATAAAAAGGTCATCACAGTCAACGTCACTGGTGCCACCGCACTTTGTTATTGCTTTCTTCCTCCTGATAGGTCACTAAAAGTGTGGGTCAAAGTGTGTGTGGCATTCAAACTACAAGTCATGTGCTTGGTGTGTATTAGGATTTGATAGGCGGTGTTTTCATTCCACATATACCGGAAATACATTTACTGTACTGCATTTTTGCTCGTTAGTTATAACAATACATGCACTGCATGTAAGCTATGCACAATTTTATTGAATAAAAATCGTATTGAATAACTTTCAGCTCTTTGTTAATCCACTGCTTGATGAAATCCTCCCCATGCAGTGTCGGTCAGGGGGGTTGGTTTGACTATACTTCGCCATGCTGGTCAGCGCGGTTGCTAAAGGGGAGGCCCAGGACCATTTCAGATAACGCTTGCCACTGATGCCAATCATGGTCAGAAATCAAACTCGGCTCACCAGGGCCATACATAGCACAGTAGAATAACTACTGCGCCACCATTCCCCCAACAACAATATACATGTGTAGTGGAATAAATAGGCGCATGGGGGTAATTGGTGAGATTGCGCGGGAGCAGGACAGTAGGGGGTCATATTGGGACGATGAGGTAACGATTGGGCCAATTAAGCTGGGGAGCCAAGGACGGCTGTGATTGGCTGGTGTTGTTGTCAGGGCTGGAGTGTGATTGGCTGTTGTTGCTGTCAGGGCTGAGGTGGCGTCTTGAAGTCTGGCGAGGTAACAGGCGCACGGGCATGCGGAGCGTCGTTGGGACTGCGGGTTAATTAATTGGGGTGTAATGAGAGCGGGGATAAATTGGGGAGACGTGAGGAGAAACGGGAGTTGAAGTCGGGGGTTGGACGAGGCAAGACGTGGCGCAGCTGAAGAGAGAAGCAGTTAGCAGTGGAGAGAGAACAGTGATAGCGGAGAGCAGAGACGAAGCAGACAGCAGTGGAGAGAGCATAGTGATAGCGGAGAGCAGAGACGAAGCAGTTAGCAGTGGAGAGAGCACAGAGATAGCGAAGAGCGGAGCGCAGAGACGAAGCAGCCAGCAGTAGAGAGAGCACAGAGACATCGGAGCTGACGGAGAAGTGGAGATTGGAGAGACAAAGGCGGCGAGCGAGCCGTGGCAACAAGGGAACTGTGGAGCATTGAGGACATGTGGAGAACTGTAAATAAAGTGGTGTTGGAAGACAAAAGTTGTCCGAGTGAAATCAACCACTACACATGCATAGTTTTTGAACATTGCATTTATAATACAGACGGTTCAATCTATTTCTGTACAGTGCTGTTTTTAAAATAGTTGCACTATGCTAATGGTGGGTGGGTGGGGTTGCTGAGAGACAAGGGCATATATGGGTTTCTTTTGCACTAGTGTTAATTTATTTTAGTCATGGTTTTAATCTACTTGATAACGACCCATGGAATGTTCGTTAAGTCTTAGTCTGTGGATTGTATTTAATCAGTCTCTTAGGCTAGTCGATTCAAGAAGCCTTAAATGTAGTCCACTCTTACTGCCATTCCCCCCTCCAACCGACCACCCCCCTCTATATTATTAGGTCAGCCAATGACTTCACTCAGTAAATGTTTTTTAATGTGCACATAGTCAAGTACCATTTCTAGTCTCCCTTAGCGCACTACAATTTCTAATAACGTCACTAAATTATCTTAGACTGCACGTATTTATTTAGACTCCTTAATTTAATCTCACCATAGTCAGTCGCGCTTTTGTCTTTGATTGGGAGTCGTCATAGTCGTCTTTATGCTTGATGATTTTTATACCACTCGTAGTCATCGTTGACTAAGGAATAAAATAGGCAAAAAAAACACATTTTTGGCGATGAATATTTCTAGTAAGTAATTTCGATAAGATGCGTGCCACACCTCAACTCCGGAGACGACCAGCTCGTCTGCAGACTTCACAACGTTCCGGAAGAATCCTCCCAGCATCTCCTTCTTATTCTTGCCCCGCACGTTCAACTGTCAGAAAAGAATAACAACACAACTCTTCTGTGGAAGCAAATCTGATTTGAGGATTATCCTACCGAGCGCTCAACATAAGTAATGTGCGTGCATTAACTTTAACCATCAAAGCGTCTATGTTTGTCGAATAAGCGATGGTCAGTGCTCAACTCCGTGAGTAATTCTGAGCCAGTGGTTCAAATCCATCTTTCCATGGCGGGGAGCAGTCTCTGTTTAGAATATTTAAAATAATAATTTACAGCTCTTTGTGGAACCACTGGTAGATGAAGGCCTCCCGAAGTCATTACGATTTCTTGATGTTCTGCGCCATAACAATCCACCAATCGCCTGCAACATGAGCTGATTCCATTGACCCAACATGTATAATGAAAAATAAAAAGATTAAGCTAAACGGTTTGTTAGAGCCCAAGCAATACTTTACGACAGATTCACCCTTAACTGCTACTCACATCAATACTGACATTTTCTATAACTAAAAGCCAATAAGGCGGTGAGATGGATAGATGAGATGGACAGACAAAGCCGCAGACTGGAGTCACACCTCATGCGTGTACTCGAGGAAGACCTGTAGGTTGGAGTCCTGGCTGAGGACAGGGTGTGTAGCCAGCCGGACCAAGAAGCCCTCATGCATGGCCACAGTCTTCTTAAACACCACCAGATACTCACTACAAGCCAAAAGCACAACACTAATCATGCAGATTTTTATGTAAACTTGTATGATTAATTTCAAATATTACACCATCAGCCATGGTCAATCCAGTGGTAAAGGAATGACAGCTTACATTTTTTTACATCAGCTTATATGTTCATTTACTTAGCTTAAATATTCATATTTTTCAGCAGACTTATATGACTTTTTTAATAATGCCAACATGGAGCATAAAAAAATATTTCCCAAACGTGAAATATGCATTACCACCAAGTAATATTTTTTAACACTTGTCACCAAAAGATTCCTGAAAACTGACGATAACATCTGCAGGACACAGAACTCACGCTTCCACTTCTTGTTTCATTCTGGAAAATTCTTCCTTTGTCATCGTTCCCTCGGACTGACCCAGCCTATGCAGCTTATCGCGCGAGGCTGAGAAATCGGGTCGCAGTGGCGCTGGGGGGATCTTCACAGAGGACACGCAATGTAGAGCAAGGGAACACGCAAAGCTCAGGGCCACACAGACCACAGGGCATACATAATTTAACAATTATTATTTAAACGATAACTACAACAAGCTACGAAGCTAGCACTCAAATTGCACATGGTACATATTGCGCATATATATCATCTAGGTTAACATTATAAAGTGCGGTTGGATTGCAGAATAAAAAAAGCAAAAAAATAAGTAATGCAATGTCAAATGAGCATTTTCATATCCGGCACTTACAATGAAGCCCGCGTAGGTTCCGTTCTCCACGTATGAGTCATGCAGCCACACAAAGTCTTCGTGCTGGCGCGACACACACACCTTGCTGTTCTTGAAGGCTGGCAAAATTGTCTGCACGCACAGGAATAATATGAAGGTAGAGATGCAGCGCTGCAATTGCTTGCTTTCGCCACTACTGGCAGAAGAGCCTGGACTCGAAGGCATCCCACATAGTTCATAGCTCATTAGTTCCATAGTTCATTTATTTGGTATAGCCCTGTGAGCCATTCGGCTCTTGGATCGGGTGCAACCGCAACAAACAAAAAATGAACAAGAAAACATCCTAAAGTGATTATGTGACTGTGCAAACAGAAAATCCAGGAAAAAAAACATCAAAATATTCCTGAAATTGTACCGTACACCAACGCTGTGTGCAAAAATCCCAGTGGGATAAAAATCCCACATAGAGGGTATTTGGCCTACGCTTTCACACCGACCAGACCTCTTGGAAGACGTGGGGATGCCCACATTTCACAACACCATCACACGTGACCTGACACTTGGCTAATTGTGGTGTACCCACATTTCTTGCTTGGTGGTCAGAGGTGGGGAGATTGGGAGATCGAACCGGTGCCCTCCGGATTTCAAAGTTAAGTGTGCTAACCATGGCAGTACAGGAATATATTTAATTTACTGAAAATGTGTTGAAATATTTACAAACCGCTCGGTAGTAATCAAAATGGAAGTGTGCAAAGCCATATCACAAACATTGAAGCCTTTGTGATATACATGAAGTATGTGAGGCATTTAAAGACCAAAGCAGCAGTCAAAATTCAAGTTAGCAAAGTATCAACTATGCTAACAAGGTTCCATTTGCTTAAAAGGCATGGAGAACTACTGTATTATTGTTTAGAGCAATTTATAACATAAATAACATGCAATGAATGAGCAGCAGGCTGCATGCCATGCATGTAATTGAGGATTTCCCAGGCAGGTGAGCTTCAATTGCTTAAAACATTAGATTTAGGGCCAACGGAGGCCTTGTGTATGTTATGCATGCATGGTAAACAATGAGAAAGGGACACGATGCGATGGTCATAGTTAAATAAATCAAAGCTATGTTTAAGCTAATCAAGAGCTACAAAACCACTCTTGCAAGACAACTCGAGCCAAGATGATATCAGCTGCCAAGATATTAGACAAATAAACCTGCCATGTTTGTTTGTGCATTTTCAGTTTTGTGTAACATAGAGCCACAGAGCAGATACATTTACATCAGAACCAGGTGTATAATCATGCAATTTAAATACAATATATAGATGCTCTTCAGAATATGGGCCTATAGTTACCTTTGAAAATGGGTCTATGTACCCACGTACATGCTAGTTGCACCTGCCAACCAGAGGGAGATTACGGGAACAGTTCTTCTGTAAGATTTTAATAATACAATTTAAAAAGCCATCACTCGATAAAAAAATAACTCACATTTGTGCCTTTATTGTACATTGCTATGCAATTTTAATTGGCAAGGTCATACATTTCTATTGTAAAAAATTGTGAAAACATTGTTAAGTAATTTTGAACCCAGACGCAACTCTAATAACCCCATAGCAGAACAGAAAACAAGCGTAATATTTGATATACGCTGAATACGGCACAGTATTGATGGCACAATAGAAGGAGAATTGTGCTTGTCTTAGGGTCACCAGAACCATTTAGTTGCCAACACTTTATTTCAGCGCAAGACAACATTTGTAAATTTATTGTTGGCGTTTGGGTAAAGGTGGCCCACGGACACACGAGGAGTACCACTTCAAAACGATGGTCTTGAAACGCAACAATCCACCTAGCTCCTGCACACGAGTTGATTTCATCGCTTCATCTCGGCAGTGGACGTCCTCTCAGGTGTGTTCCCTCCTTTGGCTACCACTCGGTGTTTAGTCTTAACCAACCACCGCCCAGCATCCCTTCTAGCACTGTGCCTTGGCATTGCCAATGGCGATGTTATTATTGTTATCAGTAAGTTTGAAACCTGTGTTTGACAAGTGGGTTTGACACGTTGCAACTCTGCATGGGTTATCTTGGTGTGAAATGTGGTTTTGACACATGGGTGGTTTGAAATATTTGGTCTAACACGGGCCATTTTCGTTTTTGTGTTTTACCAAAACAGTTTAAGAGCTGCATCACACACAGAGCTACTTGTACACATACAGAAAAACAGCAGGTAGACAGCAGACGACAAACGAAATCTGACAAACGAAATCTGACTTAAATAAACTAAATAGGTGATGGAATAAACTGCGTCTATTAGATATTTTTCCGCCTTAGTTATTCTTTAACAATATAGTTTGACTACATATTGTGGTCACCAAGATATTCCATATCTGCCATATTTGAACAATTCTCTTTACATTAAATTACGTTTAACGTTTGTGTTTTTTTAAACGGCTGTCCCATAGGGGGGCAGCCAAAGAGCCGCAAAGGGGAAGCCAAAGAGCTGCATGCGACTCTTGGTTTAACACATTGGTTTGACATTTTTATTTAACATATTAGTTTGACAAATAGGTTTGACACATGGCGTTGACACCTGGATATGACACATGGTTTTAACGTGGCCCCCGCGTTTCGATTACACCTTGGTTCGACACATTCGAGCATTAGTGGGGCTGCGATACATGCGGATTTGACAGATGGGTTTTGGCACAATTGGGGCCTAACAGTTTGTTACACGTGGGTCTGATGTATCCCGTCCCTTTACCTTGGTTTGACATATTGGTTTTATACATTCGTGTGACACATCGGTTTGACACGTGGGTACTTTTTGTTTTTAACACGTGGCCTCCCGTGCGCGGGTGATGTTACCTTGGTGCACACCGTGAAGAGGACCCGGTCTCGCTCGCTCACGGCGTCCGTGATAGACACGCGCAGCGCGGGCTCACCCTGCAGGTCGATGCTCACAGAGCGGCCCTGACAGCACAATCAACAACACTCGATGCATTTCCCGTTTAGCGGGATACAGGAGGGCCAATTGCTTGTAGCGAGCGCCTAGTGGCCGTCGTCGTTGTCAGCCTGCAGCTTCCCACTGCTGTGCAAAAGCCTCCCCCATTTCCTTCAATTCCTTCCTTTCCATAGTGAGTGTCTTGGTCTCCAATTCAAGTTTCAAGTTTCATTTATTAGGTAGAGCCCTGTGAGCCATGCGGCTCTTGAGTCGGGTGCAACCGCAACAAACAAAATATGAACAGAGAAACATCTAAAAGCGACGACGCGCGACAGAAACATCCTGGATAAACCATGTGAGAGTATGGGTCTCCATGTGAGAGTATGGGTCACAATGTGAGAGTATGGGTCACAATGTGAGAGTATGGGTCACAATGTGAAAGTATGGGTCACAATGTGAGAGTATGAATCTCCATGTGAGAGTATGGGTCTCTAGGTGAGAGTATGGGTCACAATGTGAGAGTATGGGTCACAATGTGAGAGTATGGGTCTCCATGTGAAAGTGTGGGTCTCTATGTGAAAGTATGGGTCACAATGTGAGAGTATGAGTCTCCATGTGAGAGTATGGGTCTCTAGGTGAGAGTATGGGTCACAATGTGAGAGTATGGGTCACAATGTGAGAGTATGGGTCACAATGTGAGAGTATGGGTCTCTATGTGAGAGTATGGGTCACAATGTGAGAGTATGGGTCTCCATGTGAGAGTATGGGTCACAGTGTGAGAGTATGGGTCACAATGTGAGAGTATGGGTCTCTATGTGAGAGTATGGGTCACAGTGTGAGAGTATGAGTCACAATGTGAGAGTATGGGTCACAATGTGAGAGTATGGGTCACATTGTGAGAGTATGGGTCACAATGTGAGCGTATGGGTCTCCATGTGAAAGTATGGGTCTCTATGTGAGAGTATGGGTCACAATGTGAGAGTATGAGTCTCCATGTGAGAGTATGGGTCTCTAGGTGAGAGTATGGGTCACAATGTGAGAGTATGGGTCACAATGTGAGAGTATGGGTCACAATGTGAGAGTATGGGTCACAATGTGAGAGTATGGGTCTCTATGTGAGAGTATGGGTCACAATGTGAGAGTATGGGTCACAATGTGAGAGTATGGGTCACAATGTGAGGGTATGGGTCACAATGTGAGACTATGGGTCACAATGTGAGAGTATGGGTCACATTGTGAGAGTATGGGTCACAATGTGAGACTATGGATCACAATGTGAGACTATGGGTCACAATGTGAGACTATGGGTCACAATGTGAGAGTATGGGTCACAATGTGAGAGTATGGGTCACAATGTGAGAGTATGGGTCACAATGTGAGAGTATGGGTCACAATGTGAGGGTATGGGTCACAATGTGAGAGTATGGGTCACAATGTGAGAGTATGGGTCACAATGTGAGAGTATGGGTCACATTGTGAGAGTATGGGTCACAATGTGAGACTATGGATCACAATGTGAGACTATGGGTCACAATGTGAGACTATCGGTCACAATGTGAGAGTATGGGTCACAATGTGAGAGTATGGGTCACAATGTGAGAGTATGGGTCACATTGTGAGAGTATGGGTCACAATGTGAGACTATGGGTCACAATGTGAGAGTATGGGTCACAATGTGAGACTATGGGTCACAATGTGAGAGTATGGGTCACAATGTGAGAGTATGGGTCACAATGTGAGAGTATGGGTCACAATGTGAGAGTATGGGTCACAATGTGAGAGTATGGGTCACAATGTGAGGGTATGGGTCACAATGTGAGACAATGGATCACAATGTGAGAGTATGGGTCACAATGTGAGACTATGGGTCACAATGTGAGAGTATGGGTCACAATGTAAGAGTATGGGTCACAATGTGAGAGTATGGGTCACAATGTGAGAGTATGGGTCACAATGTGAGAGTATGGGTCACAATGTGAGACTATGGATCACAATGTGAGACTATGGGTCTCTATGTGAGGGTATGGGTCACAATGTGAGAGTATGGGTTATAATGTGAGAGTATGGGTGACAATGTGAGACTATGGGTCACAATGTGAGGGTATGGGTCACAATGTGAGACTATGGGTCACAATGTGAGAGTATGGGTCACAATGTGAGGGTATGGGTCACAATGTGAGAGTATGGGTGACAATGTGAGACTATGGGTCACAATGTGAGAGTATGGGTCTCTATGTGAGAGTATGGGTCACAATGTGAGAGTATGGGTCTCTATGTGAGAGTATGGGTCACAATGTGAGAGTATGGGTCTCTATGTGAGAGTGTGGGTCACAATGTGAGAGTATGGGTCTCTATGTGGGTCTGTTGTTGTTCTTGTTGTCAGTCTGTAACTTTGCGCTATCGGGCAAATTGATTTATTTACCCTAGTTTATCAGGTCAGAAACATGTCCGGACGTTTTTGTATGCCCCAATACTGATGTAGTGTACATACACATCACACTGGGCAGGAAGGAACTCACTCGAGGCACATTACACGTGCACAAACACGTGGGCTCGCTCCTGACACATACGGTTACACACACACACTAGTCCCGTGATGTGACAAAGTCCGTTCACGCGTCTCTTTATAAAATGCATTTGACAAAACGGCTCAAAGCCCTGACCTAAGCTACCCTCTAAACTGTCAACCTCTGTTTTCTTACACACATTTACCATATTCTACGTTTTATAAGATGCACATTTCGCTCCTGTTTTTAATAGAAAAAAGCTTGGGATGCGTCTTATAAGCCGATAGGTGTGAGTTTGTGTGAGACCAGCTTTGAATAATTTATATTGACGTCGGATACAAGTTTTGGGATGCGTTGTACTTTCCAGAGGGGTCTTAAAATCCGGAGGATGCGATAACGCAATGACCACAGGTATGAAGCCATTATTCTTATACATACTGGGCAACTTGCTGAACCTCACTGATTCGTATTAATGCAAGGAGTTAATCAATCACCTGTCACCCTTTAAGCTAGCCTAACGGAATTGACACTCAAGTATGTTTCTATAACTCTGTTAGGACATTACGCATTCGGAAAGCGGTAGAGCACAGTAGTGTTTGTCAGAAACAATTATTTAAGGGTGTACACAACTGCATGCAGTATAACCAAAGAATATATATAGCAATAGCCATTTGAAGTCCAATTATATGCGTGTCCCCTACAATAAAATGATATCATCCCAAAGTAATGGTAAATAACAATATGACTATTTCATCGTGTCTTTTTTGTCTTATGCTAACAGATAATCTATACATGTAGACAACAGAAGTATTTTTATTGCGCTGACAGGATATTGAGAGGGAGTGATCCTGCCAATACCATCTGGTAGACCAGCAATATTTATTGAGTAAACCTGACTGCTGGTAAGACCCTAAGAGTCGAAACCTGTCCAGTGTTTGCTTCTTAAATACGTGTCGTTTCACATGAATATAGGAAGGTTAATAGGCCAAAACACTCAACAATACTGTAAGTTAAATTTTGATTTAAAGCTTTTGTGACTGCAGGGATTCATATTCTTGGTTCTTTCGGTAAAGTCACGTAGAAGGGAAACAATAAAATAATAAAAATATAAAAATAAAATTCCACAGCTGTGGTTTTCACACCTGATGATGATTGCTTGTGTTGCTGTCGAAACGTCGTGAGAATTTTGTTTTATATTTTTATTATTTTATTGTTTCCCTTCTACGTAACTTTACATACCGAAAGAACCAAGAATAATACTGTAAGTTATTTTAGATAACACAGGTTGGTTGATTTGTTTAGCTATTTGATGGAAATACTGCAATGTAAAACTGCAATTGAGGAAAAAGTATTGTCAGTTGTACAGAAATCCAGCTTAACATCGTTACCAACACTACCCTCGGCATACGGTATCCCTTTAAAAGGCAACATTCTATTAAAATGTAACCAAAAGTCCAACAACGTTCGCCTTATCGTGTTACCTTTTCGTCGTCTTCTTCTTTCAAAAGATTAATTTCCTCATCCATCTCGGAATAAATGCGTTCTCTTAGGGATCGTTAACGGTGTGCGGCTCAACAAATGCCAGCCACAAGTTGAACACGTGATGGACCCAAAGTGTCAAAATGTTGCTGAAACTGGCAAGATGCACACTGAGTGGCGAGTTTACACCGGGTGCCCCCTCCAGTCATCTGAGCTGACGTACTTCCGAGTATTATTCTGCTTCTACACAGACGGGATGGGACTTGCTTATGCACGCAGAAACAGCACAATGCTTCATAGCAAGGGCACTGGTTTTAGGTACTTACATTGTAAATTCGAACAGTGAATCTGAGAAGCCACCACTAAGGTTAAAAATGAAGTGGCTTATGTCGCGCAGTTGATTGACCATGGCTGATGATGGTGTGCGTGCGAATCCAGTGTGGATGTGCACTGGAATGTCTGTACGTATGTTGAACTTCTTTCGCACCGTACGTGGTCAACTGTACTAATCGGAGGTGCAGGGGAAGGACAATAAACTAAACACAATGTTTGGGCATTGGTTGGAAACAGTTTTGTTTGCTTTGCATGGCTTGAAATACACAGGCAGATAAACTGATGAACGTATGTAATATGTTACAAATGTTGTGGTCTGATGAATCATGCCTTGCATGGACTGATGTGCTGCATTATTATTAGAGTTAGTGAGATGGTGGATTCATTTGATGTTGGGTTATGGATGGGGTCGTTAGATGTTCACGTCTTGAGTTAAACTGATGATGTTGGCATGATTGTACTACGTGCTCATGTTGATGGTATGATGACGTTGAGCCAGTATAATATTGGTATGGCAATGTTGGTGTGATGATGTTGGTATAATGATATTGAGCCATTGTGGCATCGGTGGTGTGACGTTTATGGTATGATATTGGTGTAATATTGAGCAATTGTAACATAGGTTTTATGACGTTTGTGGTATGATAATGTTGATATGATGCTCTTGAGCCAGTGCGGTTATGGTTGTGTATTGTTTGTGGAATGATGTTGGTTCTGTATAATGTTACGTAGCCGCTGTAATATTGGTGGTATGACTATGCGGCATGCGGATGATATTGGTCTACTGATATTGAGCCGTTGCGATATTGGTGGTTTGGCGTTTGTGGTATGCTAATGTTGCTATGATGCTGTTGAGCCAGTGTGATTATGGTGGTTTATTGATTGTGGTATGATGATGTTGGCCTAATGTTACTGAACCACTTTAATATTGGTGGTATGACATGCGATATGATATTGGTATACCGATATTGAGCCATTGTGATATTGGTGGTACGTTAACGCTGGAATTATGCCATTGAGCCAGTGCGATTATGGTAGTTTATTGTTTGTGGTATGATGATGTTGGTATGTTACTGAGCCAATGTAATATTGGTGGCATAACAAATGCTGTATGATGATATTGGCTTATTGATATTGAGCCGTTGCGATATTGGTGGTTTGGTGTTTGTGGTATGCTAACGTTTGCATGATGCCTTTGAGTCAGTGCGATTATGGTAGTTTATTGTTTGTGGTGTGATGATGTTGGTATAATTTTTCCGAACCACTGTAATATTGGTGGTATGACGAATGCGGTATGACATATATAGTTGTACTGATATTGAGCCATTATGAATTGGTGGGATGACGTTTGTGGCATGCTATGATGCTAATGAGCCAGTGCGATTGTGGTGGTTTATTGTTTGTAGTATGATGATGTTGGTAAAATGTTACTGAGCCACTGTAATAGTGGTGGTATGATATTGGTGGTATGCTGACGTTGGTGTGATGCTATTGAGCCAGTGCGATTATGGTGGTTCATTGTTCGTGGTATGATCATGTTGGTGTAATATTACTGAGCCACTAAAATATTGGTGGTATGACGTATGCGGTATGATGATGATATTGCTATACTGCTATTGAGCCACCGTGATATTGGTGGCATGACGTTGTGTGTGGTATGACGACGACGATGACGTTTAGTGAGCGTGATGATGATGTTGATGATGCCCGGTGGTGGTGGTGTCGAGAGTCAGCAAACCGTGACGCAGCTCGCAGGCACCCCGCGTCACGTGACCGTCATGGCGTGGAAGTGCGGAGGCAGCAGCCACGCCGAGTTGGTCAAAAACCTGCGAAGTGAGCGACCGCCCGCCCGCCCGCTCGCACCTCACGCCGTCGCTCGTCCCCGTGTCCCCGCAGGAGAAGGCGCGGTGACGGGAGGACGGAGCCACCGTGCCTCATAGATCAACCTTAAAAAAAAGGGTGCGGGGTGGGGGGGCGGATGGCGGCTTCCACCTCGAGCCCGACCCCCCCTTCGTCGCGGCACCCTTGGCCGGGGCTGAGCGCGTCTTCTCTCGGCCGGCTTTCTATCCGAGACCGCTGGGGCCTAGCCTCCGAGCCGGGGGGGGGGGGGTGTCTCTGCAGAAGGCTGCGTTTTTGAGCGTGCAAATGTTGTGGGGATTTGATGCACATGTATCCTTCCGTTTCGGGCTGGGGTACACGATGTTCACGAGTGGTTAAATACAAGGATTTGGGATTTTGCAAATGTGGCTGCTGTCGTGTCGGTGATGAGGCTGTTGGGCGTCGCCGTCCTGAATCTGTATCGGCAAATTTATTGAACATTCTTGAAGCATGCCCAACGGAAAACAGCCGCTAACTATTGTTTAATTACCATACAACTTGCCTTATTGCAGTACAATGCTGTTCCAATTTCTTTAAATACGGTAAATACTTCAGCGTTTGTGCATTGCCAATGAATACTGAATTTGAACTGGTGCGTTGTGTGGCCACGTGATGGGCAGCAGAGGGCAGTGCAGCAACATCTATTGTTGTACACTACTTCTACACCCCCTTCACCAACCCGCAATGACCAGCGAGCGTGGTTACGTCTGGTCAAGTAACCCCCCACGACCTGCACGGCGTGGGGAGTCCCGAAGCCAGCAGTGGATTGAAAAGCGAGGATTTACAGGACATGTGTTGACATTGCCGGTTACCTCTGCAAAGTGATATCATTGCGATAAATGGAGTACGTGTTATGTACGTAGAAGGGAGGTGGGGGTTGAGGCAATAGAATGAGAGCATATCTTTAATGTGAACTCCTGTGACAGGGTTGTGTCCCCTGAATGTTTTTCATCAGGAATGCAATGCACGGACCGTGGTAGTACTTGGTGAGACGTGCGTTCGTTCACAGTGCAATGTGAGGACTCTGGGTATGGACAACGTTGTATGGGGGACAACTATAGGCCCACGCACCTTAATCGAGTGGGTGATTTGTCTTGCAGGCAATGGCATCGTTAAATCCGACCGCGTTTACCAGGCAATGATTGCCACGGACAGAGGAAAATACGCCAAGCACAATGCCTACATGGACTCGCCGCAGTCCATTGGTAAGCTGGTGGTGGTTAATATTCTAATGGACATTTTTAAAACGCCTAACATGTTTTTATGGCTTTAGAGATTGAATGACTCTAACACTAGTTTTCTTTATTTAGGTTATCAGGCAACTATAAGTGCACCTCACATGGTAAGTATTCCACATACCAGCTGGTAATATAGGTTTACAAACACTACGGTTACACATTTAATAAATCAAAACACGAGTGGAGTTAAAAGAAGCTCCGCCATAATTAATTTGGCACATGCACTGATGTTATTTTGGTGTGCGTGTCTGCAGCACGCCTATGCCCTGGAGATATTACAAGACCATTTGTTTGAAGGGGCTTCAGTCTTGGATGTTGGTTCTGGGAGTGGCTATCTCACTGCCTGCATTGCAAGAATGGTATGTGCACATGCTCAGCAATACAGCTGAGATTAACAGAGGTGTTTTTTTTGTATTATTAGTGAAACAACAATATAAATTCTACTTTAGACACCGTTTTCTTTTGCTTTACTAGTATAAAGGAAACATGCATGTCATTTGCATGTTTTCTGTCTTTTAAATGATACATTCTTGCACAGTTTGACGCATTTGTTGTATGAGAATGTATTGCAATTGATTAATCGTTTACGTGCCGACTATGCAAACATTGCCGTACCTATGAATTATAATTTAAAGTTTTGATGAATTTAATGCTCAGTATTTTCGAATGGAAAACTTTTGTATGGTCTATTAAATACTGTTAATTTGTAAAATGTCTTAAAATTTTTCGGGGCCCTACTGTGTTAATTGCAGTCTCCTCCCACAAGTCAGTTCTTTTCTGCCCTCTCTTTACTGAAGAAGGGTCACTGATTGAAACACAAGTCAAAGATAAGTTTGTTTCTAGAGCAGTGTTATTGAAAAATGTGGTGAGTGTATTTAGGTTAACCATAATATATCAATATATTTTAAAAGTACGCCTTCTTTAGAACTGCTTTTTGTGTATCGTCCTTCGCCTACACCTCCGATTAGCACGGCTGGCTACATACAGTGCGAAAGAAGTTCAACATACATACGTAGTGTCACTTAATATTTGGCATATATTTTACAACAAAAACATGACGATTTGTGGGGAATGTGCATTTGTTTGAGTAGGTGGGGTCTTCAGGAAAGGTCTTTGGGATTGATCACATCCAGGAGCTGGTGGATGAAGCCATCAAAAACGTAAACAAGGATGACATGTCTCTTCTCTCTTCGGGACAAGTGACACTTGTAGGTGGGTTTTCATTGCCTGCACTGGTTTGACAGTGACATTACTATATGCAAATACTATATGAATATGCAGTGACATTACTATATATACGCATTGGTTTTACAGTGACATTACCATATGCACTGAAAGTAAAACTTATTTCCTGCGTTACCCTAGTGTTTATGTACACTTACATATGCTTAGTTGTACGATGTTACTTAAATCAAATAACAGTTAAACTTCGTGTCCTTTAGAGCTCATATTGCAGTTGCTATTTATTGCATACTTTAAGTTGTGTTGGTTACTTTGCAGTTGGTGATGGCAGGCAGGGGCACACAGAAGGTGCTCCCTATGATGCCATCCATGTGGGAGCTGCTGCACCTACAGTTCCACAGGCGGTAAACAAGCCGTGATTGCCTCAATGCACACCGTTTATTTGCACGAATAATCCATTGGCTGGACTGCTTGTGTGGCCATTGCATTAGAGCTGGGTTATTACTCTCCCTATTATCAGTTTGATCACTTGACTAAACTGTTAATACAAAAATACTTTGAAAAAACATTCTCACCTATTCTGCTGGATTGGGGATGATAAGGGAGGCTTGTACCTACTATAATCACCCCGGAATGTCTGTCCTTTACGTTTGTGACGTCACGCCACCACGACCAGCCCCCCTCATTAATATTCATGAGCAGGTGACATCTTCCAAATGGACATCCCCCCACCCCTCATTAATAATCATGAGCGGGTGAAGTCACTCAATATGGAGTACTCCCCCCCCCCTCACTAATAATCATACGCAAGTGACGTCACTCCATATCGAACAGCCTCCCTCAATAATCATTAACAGCTGACGTCCTCCAAATGGACACCCTCCCATTAATAATAATTAGCGGGTGACGTCACTCCGCATGGGGGGGCGAGGCGCCTCCTCCCCCCTCCTCGGCGTCAACTTACAACCATCACTACAAAGGCAGAAGCCTCACGTCACGTGATCTCTGTAACGCTGTTGTTGAGACATAGAAGTAAAAAGGACGTCGTGATGAACAAGGGATTATAACCTTTAAATGAAATAGGTCTGTGTCACCGCGCCCTTACAAATTGCACACGCATTAATGCAAAGAATATCACGTCGCGGTCTGATTTTCGCTTGTAAGTTTTCAGATTTACTGCAATACACCCGTCCTTGGATGGGCAAAAGGCTCGTTGATATTATTAGCATCATCTGCCATGTCTTACTGGGCATGGCTTGTGGGGGGTTTTGGGTGGCAGAATCTGGGGACAGCCATTATTTTTAAAAGGGCCCGAGTAATGGACCAAAAAAGTGGAGTCAATTGCAATTTTTGGTCAATGAATTAGACGGATTGTCCCAGCTCTGTATTGTATGTTTCAAGAGTACCAGGACAGCATTAGCAGAATCTTGGGTGTGAGCTTAGCATTCCATGACAAGATTGCTTTCATTGCTATTATTAAAAAAAAAAGTCCCATTGGGTGTTTGAATTTGCTGTTGGTTTTTTTTCTCTTCCAGTAATGTGATCTTATTTTCTATTTTTGTTGCAACGTGCCATGTGTCCCAGTTGATAGACCAGCTGAAGCCTGGCGGCCGGCTCATTTTGCCCGTGGGGCCAGCAGGGGGAAACCAGACGATGGAACAATACGACAAGCTTGAGGACGGTACCGTACGACACTGCCCTCTAATGGGCGTCATCTACGTGCCGCTCACTGACAAGGACAAGCAGTGGGCCTGCTGGAAGTAAAGCTCACAGGGCCAGAAAGGTTATTGTGCACATTTATCTTTTAACGTTGCATATTTAAGCACATCTTCTGTTTGCTTAACAGAGTGATTGTTACACTTTTAATGAAACAAAATAATCTTGTGGTTATCGATTAAATAACTGATTTTAGTCCCAGGTAAGCTATTTGTTGTTAAACGTATATTTTCTAATTGCACATTCTGAACATAATTTTTTTCAAGTCGCTTACAAATTTATTTTTTATTTTTAAATGCATAATGGTAGTCGTTAATTTCCCTGTAAAAGACTTGTTTGTTTTCTTCACCTACCATTTCTGCTGGTATATTATTGATGGAGAAAGTATAGCAAGCAGCACAGTGATTAGTGCACAAGGCTTGCATATCTTGGAGGATGATGAGATCAAATCCCATTCAGGGGTCCACTCAGCCATTATTACTTTTAGAGTCAATTAATTGAGTACCACTTTGTGGGAAGTAAGCCATCATCCCATAGCTTGACTTGCCCATGCTATAGTATTTAACTATATTTGTGGAGAGCTGTAAACTTGTGATACGCACAGCCCCATTCCTCATGAACTTGGCAACCACTAACATATTTGTACATTAACGAACAACTGTAAATGTCTTTCATTTTATACTTTGCAAGATGAAATGTTTACTGTTTTAAGAGAGGTTGCATTCTCTTGTGAGGTGTGATAAGACGAGAATACTTTTTTTTCCCCTTTGTAGGGATGCTAGATGACCTCTGATCAAGAACCTGAACACCAAACCATGGCGACTGCGTGAAATGCTGCACACTCACTTTAATTGCGCCTTCATATATGTAGTGCCATGCATCTTTTACACAAGATGTATTTAGTGTTTTGTATCTTAAATTCTGTTTTGCATTATCATTCTCACTCTCAGACTTGCAAAATAAGTTTATTGTTGGACCTCAGTCAGTTTGTACGACAGAAAAAAGGAAGGCTTGCTGGAAGTTTATATATTTTTTAATCAACTACATTTTGTTTTGCGCTTGCCTTGAACATTTTGTATCTGCAGTGTAATATGTGAGCTGAAAGCACTGGAGCTGTGTGCTAGTTATTGCATACATTTGAATCTTAAGACATTTCTGAAACATCAATATCGATTGCAAATTATCATTCTGGAACTCGGTCAACTTTTACTTTGTGCGGATTGCAGAATGGGATAGTGCACGTAATTAAATATATAGCAAAATTGCTGCGTATGTTTTTGCAGTATTCTAAAGCACTTAGAGGTTATATATTCTTGGTTCTTTCGGTAATTATTTTATTGTTTCTCTTCTACGTGACTTTACCGAAAGAACCAAGAATATGAATCCCTGCAGTCACGAAAGCTTTAAATCACTTAGAGGTTGTATGGCATGTTATTCAGCATAATATCTGACTTCACTCCACTTACTGCGAGCTCAATTTATCCAGCTATGATATAGCATTGCTGATGGATAAACCAAGCTGCTCTAAGCATTTCCTGAAGAAGCTCCCAGCATGTGGAGCAAAACGTTGGACATGCCAAACAACACGCAGTACAATCCAAAAACAAATTCCAGCCTTATTTAACAAACTTGGCCATAATGATTTAAAATACAAAATGCTGTTCATAGTGTTGTACACTTAAGGGTGAAAACATAATGGAAGAATGGAAATCTATATTTTCGATTTGTACGTACATTTAGTCTTAGGAAGGTACATTTACAGCAACGTGTAACATTGTTTGATAAAATATTTGAATGCAGTTATATAGATGCATTGTGTTTTGTGTTTTTTTAATGGTCACAAATTGTCCGAAACCACACTCTAACATGGTAATACATTGCACATTAATATGCAAAACAATATCTCCACTTTTATAATGCAGCTGAATTTGAGTTGTGGTATGCCTTATATTTTTTATTGCTTTTTAAAGCAGATAGATTTATTGCGGTTGTGTTGGAGATCTATACTCGACAATCCGAATGTCCTAGCACAGTAACAGATGAACAAATACATGCTTTAAATCTATTGGTAGCAGTAAAAAAAATTCAGTTTGGCACAGTTATATTTATTTACTGAATATCAGTTTACTACATGGCTTAAGCTACCACTGGTTTAATTTTCTTATGTGTTTTCATGTTGTTTATGTTTGCACATTTAAAAATGTCCTACACTGCATTGTAGTACATAGCTTAAATGTAGGACAGAGTGTTGATTTGAATGGAGGACTGCTTCCCAGTATCCTTTGAATATTACTTCTGGTCTGCTCAAATGTATAAAATATCAGTGTGCATATCACTAAATATTTCTGCAAGTGGTGGGTCGCTTATTGTTGTGTAATTATATGTCATTGTTTTGTAAAAAATACTTATGAATTTGGGTTTTTAGTAGGGCAGGTAACACCAACATTTACTGAAATATCTAAAGATATTGTGAAATTTAGGCCATTATTGGCCTCAAAGTAAATAACTATGTACTGAGAAGAAATGTTTGGAAAATGTATTTTGAAGTCAGAAAGTATTGCTTTGTCTTGTCAACAAATGTACTTATTTGGTATGATTTCCACCATGCTCAACACTAAGGAAAAAAGAAATGTAATCGGTAACATGATAAAACTGTTTGCCTGGTTTGCAAGCTTTGAGCATCATCATAAAAATAAAAGTCAACCACCTAGCATCTCTCTTTAAGGATAACACAACATGGGCAGGTGAATGCTCTTGTTTCATTTATAAGTGGAAGTATTTATGGAAGCACAGTGGTTTGCTGTGCTGGAACGTGTTTCCAATAAAGCTTCCAGATTCAAGCAAAGTTGCACTTAACCTTGTTGCTGCTAGACCATGGGCTGTTGTTCTTTCTGATCACTTGTCGTGTACTCATCAGCATATGGTAATAAAAGACTGACCTAAAGTAAAAGCAGCTGGTAAACTCATTAATTAAATTAGACAATGCAAGGTGCATTTCTACTCTATAAAAACAAAAAATTCGTAGTTAAACTTCAACATTTCCCCATGCTTTATTTTTTTGCAGAACATAGTAAATTTAAACTCATTTAAGCATTTCGAACTTTTGATTTCAAGCTGACAATTTACGTGTTTTGTTGAGAACTGCATTTAAAATGCTCCAATTCCCAATGACAGCTGTGCTGGAAAACGAGTAAAGGAATACGCGTAAACTCATCCTCATCAACCATGATTTAGATGTAAAGCTTCGTGACTGCAGGGATTCATATTCTTAGTTCCTTCGGTAAAGTCACGTAGAATGGAAATAATAAAATAATTACAATAAAACAAAATAACATTCTCACGACGTTTCGGCCACAACGCAAGCCGCCTCCTCAGGTGAAGAACAGCTGTCGGAAAGACAGCGTCCTGCGTTGTGGCCGAAACGTGATAATTTTTATTTTATTATGTTTAAATGTTTTATTATTTCCCTTCTACGTGACTTTACCGAAAGAACCAAGAATACCAACCATGATCTCTCCACTGCTGGTGGATAGAATTGTCAATCCCACATGGTCTCTCGGTGCAAAAATCCATCCAACTTCCTACACAAGAACAATCTCATCGCTCCCATCGCGACAGCGGTCATTCTCCGGGGCTTGTTCCTCCTTTGGCTGCCACTCTCATCATTCATCTCAACCAACAGCCATGCCTTACAGCAATGTGTTCTCCTCAACCTCACTTAATTTTTCTTAACAGTCAATATGATGTATCTAACTCACGTATGTTATCTGATGCATGTGTTCTATCTGTAATTCTGAGCGTACATCGCTCCATGCGCACTTTTACATTTTTCGAATACGTACGGTACAGTACTATCAGATTTAGAAAAAGACGAATGCATAGACTACCATTGCACCTTGCCTTTGTGGACTTAAAACATTTGACTCAGTGGACATCAATTAAGACCTCATAAACCGTGCCTTGAATGAAAACATTTGGAAAAAAAATTGGAAAAAAAATCGAACAGCTCCACGGAGGTTGCAGGAATACATTCCAAAAATATATTTGATGGGAGAGCCAGACTTGAAAGCACGCTTTTACCAACATTATTCAATTGACAATATGTTTAACAAAAATTGGATAGCAAAAAAGGCATAGATAAAATGGAGAAATAGTAATCAATCGTAGATTTCTTGAACGTTTACCAAAAAAGTAAATTACATGAAATTAAGAGAGTGCAAATTTGGGATCAAGGTAAATGAGTAACACCAAAGGTTTAAACCACAGTATTTAAAATTGAGTGTAGTCATGTTACAGTATGAACATTGTTGCTTCATCATAAAGAACGCATCCAGATACATAGTTCAACAATTTTGATTGATAGTGTTTACAGTTAAACTATGGTTCTAGACACACTCAGGTTATGAGTCATTCCAGCGATGTCACGATTATGATATATTTTTGAAGAGACCATTTCATTTTTGGCAGTATGTACTTGAAATATATATCCATGCGAAACTACTATGTGTACACCATTAATCTCAGCATCAAGGAAATTTTGTTCTAAATGTTTAATATTATGAATGGACATATGAAAATGGCTGTGTGCATCTCACTTTTTGGAGATGTACAAATATACCAGTATAAAGGCAGCCTTAAATCACTTGGACGCAATAACCAAAGCCATATATATCTGAAAGGGAAAGGTGAAGCCATGCAATTGCTTGCTCACACGACTGCTGGAAGAAGGACCTCCAATTCAGAGAGCTCTCGAGTGCCTCTAGAGAAGGTATGTTGACCGACTTCCACGCTGGCAATACATCTTGGGACCTGGCGATCGACTAACTGCTGTACCCACCTATACTTCTTTGGGGCGGGGGGGGGGGGGATAAAGAGGTGTGGAGGATTTAAGAATATTTCTCATTCAGCGGCCTATGTAAAGCAACATTGCATTTCAGAATGTAATTTAATGATATATATGTTATCTTCTTCACCACTTGGGTGTTGTAGAGAGAGCACAGGGCAGATGTCGAGATACTCAGTTCAACAGCGTACCAACAGGCAGACTTCTATGAACTGCGAACTGTGTATCTCAGCATCTGAACCAGGCATGTTCTTAATTCCTGAAACCTCAATCTTGCGTTCGTACACCCGCCTGTTAAGGTGTCCTCAAAACAACGCGCGACCCTTGCTGATCATATTTTGTGACCCAACTTTCATGCTTAGCTTTAAAAAAAAAACTTAGATAAAATGTTTTCATCGTAAGCAATTTGAATAGCATAAGAACATTGCATACGTTTACATTGTAATACACTGTAACGTAAATTGCACGTTAAGTAGGTGATGTGAGTATAAATAATGAACAGTTTCATTCGAACAAAATATTCAAAGCATAATTAATGTGTAAGGACATGGAATTATTGTGTTAAATTCCATCATCTGGTTCAGTATATTTAAACATTATTGTATCTCCGTTTTGAGTTTGAAAAACGTTAGCGGTTCTTCACATCTGCACACTGTTAATACGTTTAATCCAAAGCAATATCACTAATAATGCATGTGAGCCCATACTCACATTGACTGCTGGTTGCTGGTGGTTCCATGTTAATACTGAGGGGTGCTCGCCCGTCTGGCACCTATTGCCAACTATTTATAGTCAGCTGAGGAGTACATGTAAACACTTTATTAAACTAACATGTCTTGCCTTGGTAAATCTCTCTTTCTTTCCCTGTCATGTTGCACAGGGTGCAGTCATATGGCACAACAATGGTGTCTTAGTATAAATCCTCTTATAGCTGACTGCCGTCTGCGCCAAGACGACAGAGGCGCGTGCCAGTCTGATTCTTCATGAAAACGGTGGGCATGATTATCTATTTTTTATTGAGCCGTGCTGATTTAAATGTAGAAAATAATTCCAAATTTATTGGCTAAAATTAAGGAGAAAAATCCTTTGTGGTTCAGTATAAATATCCAAATATCGCAATTTATTTTAATACATTAATACAAACAAGGCAAATGTGAGCTGATTTGCACAGGATGATTCAGAAATAACATTGTTATAAGCTGCATTCGGCGAGGCATGAATTAAATGTGTTACTGTGAAAAGCATAGCGACTGCGTTGACTAATCCGTGCGTGGAGAGGTGAGAGACTGAACGCGAAGGCTTGTTCTTCTAATCCTCTTATAGACAGGATCCTCCATGCCGTGCTTGTTGTTTCACAGTGCAGCTGAAGGAGACGTCCAGTTCTCGATTGTTTGGCACGTGGAAGAAAATATTAAGATATTTCACGGTGAGTTGTGGCATCGCACGTACCTTTATGACCTCTAATTACGACAAAACAGTATTCGTATGTATTTATTTACTTATTAGTGTCTCTCATCAGACTGCCAGCCTATGGCTCACGTCAGTGGCGAGTGAGACCTTAACCGGTCCTGCTTCCCCCAGCCAGCAGTGGATTGACAAAGGGCTGCAAGTTATTGGACGTCCAGATACGTTTTGTGTTGGCTTCAGATAATTATAATTGATTCGACAAAGGGACTCCAACTCTAATCTTAATCATAACATCCATATTTGGAGCAGATCGTGATGTTGCCCTCGTCATAAATAGGCCACTGCTTATCTTTTCGCAGTAATTTTGATCACTGCTTAGGGCAAATAAAATGAGCTTTCCAGCTGGCATTTCATAAGACCCGTATCTGAGTGACAGAGTCATCACTTACACAAGGAAATCAGCTTATGTGCTTAGCAGTTTTTTTTCAGCTATGCTTTTCCTATACCAGCCGGAGCAGTTAACAAGGAATGTAATTTCCTTGCAGTTGAACGGAATCAACTGGAATTAAATATACTGTAAAATGTGAGTATGAATGAATCGAATGGTAGGTCGTGTGTGGTGGGGTAAAGTGTAGGTACTCCCACTTCTTCCAAGATGTCTCACCAGCATTGAAAGGTAGGCCAGATACTCTTCTCAGGTTCTCTCTAGAGCTTCCTCTGTGTGCCTGACTTTGCCTGTCGATCTTGCTTATCCCAGTACCTTAAGCCAGGAGGTCCTGCCGGAGACGTGGTATGAATTCCGACCATCCCGGGGCACTGCAGATATGGTCTTCGCTGCCCGACAGGTTCAGGAAAAGTGTCGGGAGTAGCATCAAGAACTGTTCTTGGCATTCGTCAACCTAACCAAGGCATTTGACTCCTTCAACAGGGAAGACCTTTGGAGCGTCCTCCAATGCCTTGGCTGTCCAGAGAAGTTTGTCACCATCTTGCGGCTCCTGCTCGACATGACTGCCACCATGCTGAGCGGGGGATCTGAAACGGACGTTAATTGGGGCTGTGTGATTGCCCCCACTTTATTCACCATCTATCTGGTCATGGTCATCTTCCTCGTCCACGGTCGTCTTCCATCTGGCATCAGCATCCAGTACCGTCTGGACGGGAAGCTATTCAACCTCGGACGTTTCTGGGCAAAGAAAAAGCTGATCACGAAGGACATCCACGACCTGCAGTTTGCGGGCGACTGTTGCGTGGTGGCTCACTCCACGCAGAACATCCAGATGACCCTCGATGTATTCAACTCTGCATATAAGAGACTTGGCCTAACCTTGAACATTACTATCACCAAGGTCTTCCACCAACCAACATCGGACCAGCCAAGCATCCCCACGACTATATATAATCGTTGGAGAGGCCCTTGAATATGTGGAATATTTCCCTTACCTCAGTAGTCATCTCTCCCAAACGGCCACTGTCGACGAGGAGATCCAACAAGGAGTCCTGTGCACCAGAACCACCTTCTACAAACTGCGCCAGCACGTCTTCGATCACAACGATCTCCGCAGAACAACAAGCTCCTAGTTGTCAACCCAACACTCCTTTACTTCAGCGAAACGTGGACAACCTACCAGTGCCATATCACCGCGCTTGAGCACCTCCATCAGCACGTGCCTCTGCCAAATTGTGGGGACCAAGTGGGAAGA